TAAATATATTACTTAATTTAAAGATGTGCCAATACTTCGACGGCGGTTACCGGTGGCGTTTGATCGCCACTGAGAATAACCGGTTCAGATTCAGTTTGGACAATCCTAACGAGATTTGCGTCTTTCTTCGAAGATATTAAAGTAATGTTAGGTGTGATATCGGTATTATAATTCGGTGGTCGATTCTCCCTTGCTATACCAGGAGCTACAATACTTCCCGCGTTTGATCTATAAGTCGGTGGCGGCGATGCTGTAGGTTGCAGTCGATCCAATAGCAACAGGCGAAGTCTATATTCTTGCATACTAGCCTATAATAAAATATACAGTTTGCATATCTTAAATGAATTTTTCAGGGAGTAAAAAAATTTTTTTAAGCTAGTATTATTTATAACTCACAAATTATTGATATCTGACTATTTTAAGGAAAATTTAATTCCAAACTAACTTTTAAATCTATTCTTAAATCAGTTATGGAAACAACTAAGTTAGTCACATAAATAAAGAAATACATTGCTTTAGATATATACCTGATAACTTGGTGGTGGTGTTCTAAATTGAAATTCCGGATAAATCATTGCGGCATATGGATGTATCGGTCTCGCAGGTGGTATTCTACCAGAAATACCTGTGAAACCGAACAAATTGCCACAATAATCTCGATTAGTTAACCGCCATGCCACTGCACTCACTAATACCAAAAGTACTCCTATACCTGCAATAAAAAATGCATAATATAATTATAATGCGAATAAAGAAATTTTATAATTTTTATCTACCGATAACAGTCTAAATAGGACAGATACATCATTTTATAATTAAATATAGAAAAAAATGGCGTAAATAAATTCCAATGATTATCATTTATTTAACTAGAATAGGATGGGATATTTGTAAGTTTTTCTACTTATTTTTTGAGCCATTCATTTCCTCAATCTCACATATGCGCATATACGCATGTACAACATTAACCTCCGTGGTGTTCTCCCAGAATGAGAAATACTCTAACTCATAGTTTATAGGTTTACGTTTAGAAAGTAATTATTGTGAATTTCGAGTATTCTTTCCTTTCTCTTCCTCCATTTTTCATATATAGTTGATGATTTATAATACTTTATTTATCTATTGTTTAGTAACTTTCGATCAAGAGTTTTGAGATTTTATCAAATTTTATAATAAAAAATTTTGTTTTTATTTCGGTCAATCGGGAGAATGGTTTCCCATGTGTCACTTATATTTTAGTCATCTCTATTTAGGTGTTGATGTTTTTTGAATGTCTCTGTAGCCTCTCTATATTTCTTTGGAAAATACGAGGTAATTATTGTAGCTATTGTAATCTTATCAAACAGTATATTTGATGTCCTGTTTTTTAATGTTATGTTCTGATAATGTTGACTGTTTTGACTGTTTGACATGTTTTAATCCGACATTGCGTTAATTTTTTCATGCGTACGTTGACCATTCTCCCGGTGTTTTCCCCAATGTATACTTTGTCGCATGAGCAAGGTATTTTATATGAAAATACTATGAGCTGTCTACAACATCTTCATTCAAAATAAGATTTTTACAAATTGTTCCATCAACAGTTAATTATTTATAATAATGATAAATTATAATAATGACAAATATACATTTTAAATTACTTTGCGTACAAAATATTGTAATTTTTTTCAAAAATCACTTATTTTCGATATTTAATTGCCGGATTTTTTTTACTAATATCAACGAATAAAGAAAAGTACATTTTTTACCAGACATAAATATTCCTAGAAGATGATCACGGCCAGAAGCTTTCAGAGCACCAAGGAGAGTGCCTGTACCAGCGCAGACAAGACCTACGAAGCCAATACCTAATATGGACCAACGTACAGGCAGGGAACCTAAACCGCAGCACTGTTTCGGTACTGCATCCCTGCAATATAAAATATGAGCTATACACATTCGTCGCATAACCCACTGACATGTATTCAGTTTGACAATTACGTGAGGTGTTCACTCTATCGTTATAAAATTGTAAAATGCCAGTTGTGAAGCTATACAAGTTATACATAGCTTAAATTACATGTATTTTTTTATCAAGACTCAAATAGATGATTCAAAAAAATTATACAATCAAACTTCGAATGTTCGAATAATTTGAAGCAAAAATATTCCATGTTTCAAATTGGATAATTCGAGTATGTGATCAATCTGTTCAATCAAATCATTGATTGAATTAACCGGAGATGAATAATTCGGGCGTTCAAAAAAATTCAAGCGAGAATAATAAAATTATTGCAAATAGAAAATAAATAATGTTTGTTTGTTTTATTTTAATTTAAATCTGATTATTAATTCGAAATTAAATTTAATCATTAATCTAATAAGGAAACATACACGGAAGTGTCCAATTCCGATTTTAATGAGCTTTTAATATATTATATTCTAGATTTAAAATAAGAAACACGTATTTTTTATGTGTCCATACGCAGCTTTACATAGTGAAACAACTCTTTCTCGAAAAAAAGTCTGTTTTTAAGTCATGCTACGTAGTTGCCTAGCCTGTGATAAACCTCCTATTTGGCGAAGACACTGCTAGCTTCCGGTTTGATAGATATCGTCCTATCTTCATTCTAGATAGAAATTTTAATAAAAGTCATGGCCATCAAAAACTTGATTTTGAAGTGTTTTGATTGGTCTGCCATTTTTTCTCTAATTTAAGAGGAGGTAGCCTCAGCGCAAGTGTGTGAAATGATAGAATATCATTAATCTTAGAAACATTTACGAAACATATATATATCGATTCGAATATTATTCATGCAGATTCTATTTTCCTTAAATTGTAACAATATATCAATATCAGATTTTTATCATTTTATTTATTAATAAAATTATTTTTAGATATGTAATGTATGCCTTTACAGAATTTTAATATTGAAAGGCAGTGATTAATTACTTTTAATACTAAATACCAATTTAGTACTAAACTAGTATTACTTATTTTGAGTGTTAAAAGCATTGTTGTTCAATGCTTTTAATATTCAAAATAACTTCTAGTATTAAATTACATTTCTATAAGAGTGATGTAACATATAAATATATAACCAAAGATAAGTTCAAAGTGATATTTTCACCACTTGATGAACAAAGAGGAAATTAAATAAATAAAGTTTAACAATTTACTGTAATTTATTCTATTGCATAATGGCATCGCCATTGATTTACTATCGTATATTTATGTTTAATAATTTTCTTTTATTGGATATCTTTTATAAACTGCAAATCTGATTTTTTCTTTGCTATTTTTGTATTTAAATTATGGCATTGTAAGATGTGACTATTACTCAAAATATTAAAAAAAAATTTATTAATTAACACTTTTTATCACCGCACATTTTTGATATTTTCTGAATGTATATACTTCAATTTTTTTTAAATAATTCGAATGAATCATTTCTGATTGAAATTTGTACAATCTGGAGCTGTACAATCAGTCATATTTCTGAAATGTGCAATAATTATATCAATGTCGTATAGATAACGATAAATTTATAAAAATAACATTTATTATTAAATAAATTATTAGGGATAGAGTCAAAGGCTTACTACCAATGTTTCAAAGCATTTCTTGATTGGTGTACACACACACACACACACACACACACACACACACACACACACACACACACACACGCGCGCGCGCGCGCGCGAC